AAAAAAAAAAAAAAAAAAAAGAAAGAAAGAAAACGAAAGACGGATAAAAGAAAACAGAAACATGGGAATACTTCCTTTGCACAAAAATGCCAAGGTCTAGAATGAAGAGATGGTGAAATGAAGTCAGCCTGCAGGAAGGCGCACTGCGCCGTAATGGGACTTGGGGATGGGAAGGCCGATACAGACAGAGGTGTCAGCAGGACAAATACAAAGTGCTTCTGAAAAGAGCAAAGATTTCCAGTCCTCTCTTTATTCCCAAACACTCTGTAGGTAAAGCAGGGCCTCAGTAAACCCGAGAAGCAGAAGACTGGCCTCCTGCCTGGGGCAGCTTCAGTTCAGACTTTTCTTCATTCGTAACAGCAGAAAGAGGCTGTGCAAATGGGAGGCCCTCAGCAGAGCCTGAGGAACTCTGGGGTCTTAGCTCCTGGGAGGCCACACATGCTTGGTGGCATCCCGCCTGTCACGGTCCCTCCAAAAGCTCCCAGTGATCAGTGGCCTTTCTTTTTTCTTTTTTTTTCTTAAGACAGGGTCTCATTCTTTGCCAGGCTGGAGTGCAGTGGTGGAATCTCGGTTCAGTGCAACCTCTGCCTCCCAGGTTCAGGGGATCCTCCTATCTCAGCCTCCCAAGTAGCTAGGACCACAGGCAAGCACCACCACGCCCGGCTAATTTTTTGTATTTTTAGTAGAGTCGGGGTTTTGCCATATTGTCTTGGCTGGTCTCGAACTCCTGGCAAGTGATCTACCCGCCGCCACCTCCCAAAGTGCTGCTTTCACAGCAAAGAGTCACCCCGCTCGGCCAGTGTGGCCTTTCTTCAGGCCATCACTTGCCAGCCACAGGCTGTGGCTCTGCCCCTCACCGGACACGACGTCACAGCCGGGATGTGAACAGCAGATTCTGATCTCCAACTCCAGACAATCACTGATTTACTTCTGCAAACCGGAGCTGTCCGGTCTTGCAGGGTCGGACCATGTAAACAAGCCTGCTGCCAGGCAACTGAAGACAGAGACACGAGTAAAGACGCCCCACAAGGAATGAAAAACAAAACTCCTGGGAAACCCAGATTTGGGATTCGGAAACGGGCTTGAGATCAACCTGAAGCTTCATGACGTCTTACTTTCTGTTTCCACTGCCTTTCCTTTTCCACTACAGCGACGCCCTCCGCTTCACGTGCCAAGTCCTGACTTTCTCCGAATAGTTGCCGACCCAGCACCCCGTAGGCCGTCCCCCGGGGACGCCGATGTCCTCTGGAGCACAGCGTCCGCTGGCGAAGCCGGGTGCTTGCCCTAAGCGCGGACACTTCCGCAACCGCCCAACAGTTAGCAGAAGCCCGATGCAAGGGACGCCCCATTCTCCCATCCCAGGGAAACTTCGCTGGGGCAGCGGTTCAATCGGGTGTGGGTCTCGCAGCCGCTTTCCCAACTTAAGGCTCTGCGTTTGGGCAGGCTCGGGACCCGCCGCCCTTCCTGGCGGGGGCAGGGCAGGCTCCCCGCGCGTAAGCCGAGGTGTGG